GCGGTTTCGACAATCGACCGGACCGGGGAAGGGGCATCCATTGGAAGTCCGCAAATGTCAACGGGTCGAGCTCTTCAAGTCTTGACCATGACGTTGAATCCCCGGCGGTAGATGGCGGCGAAGCTGCCGAATCGGTTGCTGATGGTGGTGAAACCGTGCATGTGGTAGATTGTTGCACGTGGAGCGGTTGGTCCAACGGTGGGACCAAGTGGACAGCATAGTCCTCGTAAGTGTACCGAGGACTTGCGACATTTGCATCCTCTCCAGATGTGTAGAACGCCGCTAGCAAGGCGGCCGAATCTGGCGGAGTGAGAGGTGGAGTCGCCTCACCTCCCGCGGAACTCGGTTTCCCGAGTTAATACGAGGCCGAACATCCTCCTTGCCTTGATCCGGGCATTGGGAGGTCTTGTGCTTGGTGTTGTTGCACCAATAACAGCAGCCGTAACGGCCGCGGTACTTGTACTCGGCCTCGGTCAAGTGAAACTTGACCCATGGTGCTGGCTGTCCGTTTCCGGCCGGCGATGCGGTTTTCGCCTTCCCGTTTCCTTGGGACTTGTTGTTGCTTCGCGGCTGGACAGCAGCCACGTGATCTCCCTCACATGACGCTTGGGTGGCTGCCGGGTCTTCCACAATGTTGTCCGATTGGACTGCAGGGAACTACTGCTGTCGTGGACCAGTTTTCACCTTCTCCACATAGGTTGGCTGCCACGTTGACTTCTCGTGTGCAGCTGCCCTGTTTGTCTTGATGATCTCCCTCGCCTTGTCAATGATTTCAGCGAAGGTTGCATATTGCTCGCGATCACCAAGTGCAAGGCTCAATGCAGCACATGGCCTGTTGTAGAACTCGCGACGCAGATGCGAAAATGGCAAGTCAAGATCGGGCATTGCCGCGATCTTCTGCCATTCTGTGAGCCAGTCACGTGTTGCTGTGTTGCCTTGTGTCATGCCGAAGAGATGGTTGATGGCGAGTGCAGGTGCGCCGTCCACGATGAACGACTTCTTCCATAGCCGTGTTAGTTCTTCCCATGAAATCTTATCTTTCATATCTGCGACGTCGACGCCGTGGATGGATGCCAGGTGGCTTAACCAGATCTGGCATCCGCCCTTTGAGTTGAGAAACAGGGCGCCGATGTACGTGTGTTTGGCGACGAACAGAATCCGAAGTTGCGTCGTAAAGCCTTCCCGCCAGAGGACCGGGTCTTGATGCGTGTAGTCATCAAACTTCTCAATTTGGAATGTCGGCATCTTATAATGCGTTGTGCTGTTGCCATCCTTGTTAGGCAGCTGCAGTTGCTGAACCTCGGTCTTCAAGGTATCCAGTTGTTTGCTGATGTCGCCAAGCATTGCGACGACGTGGTCGACTCGTTGCTCCAGTTGGCGAGCAGAGGGTGCACTGCTGGACTCGCCAGCCTCCGGTCTTGGTGCAACTTGCTCCAAGTCCTGCATACGGGAATCAAGTGCCCGCGCTGCATCCTCTTGCCGAGCCTTATGGTTCCGCATGGCCCGCTGCATATTCGCCAGCTCGGACTGCAGGTGGTTACAAGTGTAGACCAACCGAGTCACAAGTTTGGCCATGAATTCCCTGTGCTGTTCCTCCGGTGTCGCGTCGTCGTGCTCCTCGGATGGTTCAAAGTGCCAATACTTGAGCCTTTCGATGCTGGAGGCTTCATGCCGCTGTAGCAGATCCTGGGCCTCCTTGCGGCGTGCCTGGGTATCTTCTTCAGCCTCGGCCTGAAGCCGCTGCTTCTCAGCTGTTGCCGCCGCTTCAGCCTGTAGGCGGACAGCCTCGGCTGCCAGCTGGCGCTGTTCCTCAGCCTCCATCAGTGCGAGCTGAGTCTGGAACCGCTGTTTGTAGTCGGCAATAGGGCCAGTTGGCCTGGCATGCCCAGAGCTGAGCCCGTCATGGTGGCGGGGTACTGCTGACGTGGCACTGTGGCACTGCTGCTGACGTGGCACTGCTGACGTGGCACTGCTGACGTGGCACTGCTGACGTGGCACTGCTGACGTGGCACTGCTGACGTGGCACTGCTGACGTG